GCTTTTTCTTAGTTCTCCCCCGGAAAATACCATTATACTCCCTTAAATTAGGCCACAACCTATGCCCGGAACCGGATATCCATACTGAGGACATTCCTCAGTCAGTTCAGGTACATTTCAGACAGTACCTTATCTCACATTATGCACAGGCCGCTTGCTTTCATAAGTTTTCAGGAGTTGAAGGAAGGGCGAGATGTGCAAGATGTGGGCAGCCAAAAACGCAAAGGACAGACGCAAATGTGGACAGAGTACGAACAAATGGTGAATCAACAGTTATTTGAAAGTGCTGACAAGGTTGCGGGAATCTGTTCGGAGGAGAACACCCGAACTCTGGCCTGACAAGTGGACTCTCCACCATAACGATGTTGCGCATGATGCGTTAAAAGTTCGCGAGTTTCTGGCTAAGAAATCCATTACAAAAAATGGACCATCCACCTTATTTTTGGCTCTTTCCAAAATTAAAAAATTCCCTGAAGGAACAAAGATTTGCTGACATTCCTGACATCCAACGCAACGTGACAAAGTTACAGCGAGGTATTCCGGAAAACGATTTTCAAGACTGTTTCCGGTGTTGGCACCATCGTCTCACGAAGTGCACAGCTCCACAGGTGACAGCAGCAGCTAGTGCACGGATAAGCAAATTTTGCTTTCCCAGGGCCATTCCGGGAATTAAATTGTCGGATCTTGTGGGGTTTCAGTTCTTCGCCCACGCATCTCATTCACTCCCTGGCCAAATTATTTGCAGTTAATTTAAACTGACAATTATCTCGTTTCCGCCCCTGGAATTGGGAAGGATTTGAAGGACGTATATTTTATTGTTTTTCGAACATTTGTTTCCTACTATAAAGTTGGGACCTGTACCTATAAGTAGCTTTTGACTTCAGAGAGCGAAGCACGTGGATAAATGTCCGATACACATTTAGGGGGCGAATACACGTAGGTACGGGGGCCCGTGATAGCGCCCCCGGTAACCACTATATAAGAGGTTGAGTGGACCTCAGAGCCCGTCTGGACGACGTGGCGAAGAGAAAATTCTTGACCCTATCGGAACTCGAACTCCGACCCCTCGGTGATTCAGCCCGTAGTTAGTAGCTATACCGGTTCCGCTATCCCGGCTCGTAAGAATTATGTGTACAATGCCAAAATACTCGAACTACAATCATGTAATATAAAAGAAAGTTATGATGCAAAATTATTAATGAAATGACGACGTGTTAATAAACATGTCAAACATAATATAGTCATGTAGCACGCACAACTACAAACGAAATATACAAGCAAACTGCCAGCTGTCGAGGTAAGATTTAAAAATTTACGATTGTAATATTACATAGCCGTGCACAGTGGCCGCTTAGACACTGGGATCATGGGTTTGAATTCCGCTTGAGGCATGGCTGTCTGTGTACTTTTATTCTGTGTGTAGATAGCTGCCTTGCGGCCCGCTGATCCCCCCTCAAAGAAATCCTACTAACTGTGTATAGATTAAGTAAATGAAAAAGCGACCAAGGTCCACAAGTGGCTGTAGAGCCATAGAGAGATAATATTGCATCCCACTTGTGTAAACTCATGAATGATCAGCGTGTCATCACACAAACTGTACTTCTACAGACGTACTCAGTTCCATGACGTGTTTCTGTCAGTAAACGACCATTATCAGATGGGTTGTCTATACAAAAATTACGCAAAAACCACGAAAGATACCTTAATTTAGCAAAAAAAAATATTCTCTTTTTTAATTGACTTTTCAAGACAGATCCATCTTACAGCTATTTTAAATTATGTATTAAAAGAAACCACTCTTCAGTATACAGAGGTACATAAAATCGTGTATTGAAATGACAGAAGCATCGCAACATATTGTAGACGTCCAACCTTCTACTGAAACTTGTAGAAAAATTTGGATATATTAATTAGGACAGCGGTAAGTTAATTAATGAAGGAGATAAAAGAGGTAAAGCTATCCCTGTAGTAGTCCGTGGTGGCCCATAGTCGAGGTTCCCACGTTTTGTAGACAATCGGCACACAGACTGCCGCCCGTTGCCCCAAGGGAGATTCCTGGTACTAGTTTCCGTTAGAGGATGAGGTGACCCTAAGGACAGTGAGTCTATGTGACACCCTCGTGTGTGGATAGCGTATTTAAACTGTTCAGTTTGGTCAACTGACTAAATATTTGGAATTCTGTTGGTCAGTTGACCGCAAATTATGTCGTGAAGAGCTCAACCGAATTCCGACATGTTTTGCCTCCACCTCTGGCTTCAGTCCTGTCGCAAGGAAACCCATTGTGAGGTAATGACTGGACCACTAACGTCAAAGTTAAGCCATGGGGTCCCAGAGCTCTTTCGGGAAGCTCCTGAAATGTTCGTATATTACTCCTGACTAGAGGCAACTGAAACGTACTTTTTTTTAAATATTTCTCATATTATCAGTAAATTGCGAATAGAGAAAGTTATGAGTTTAAATACCTTCAATTCAAAACATCTCAATTACAATAAAATCGACAAAATTTCGTTTAATGTAGCTGTGCGCCCGACAGGTGCATCCATCAGCGAGCCCTGAATGAATCATACCCAGTTATTTGTGTCCCCGTCCTTGCACCAGGCGTTAGGCCTAATCAGCCTCATGCAGCCGAGTCCAACCAGCAGTTACTCGGGCACTCAGTAAATTTCCCGGCGATTTATGGAACCCGAGAACTCATTATCGTGACCGCAAGAACCGCCACCACTCTCTGCCCCGAGCCATGTGACCCAGGCTTCTTTCTCCATATTTTAATATCCGAAATATTCTTAATGATCTTCTTAATTCAGGCTTCCTAAAATACTTTCTATGTATTTCCCTCGTGTGCGTGCTACACTCCCCTCTCATCTCATCCTTCGGTTGATCATTCTAATTGTATCTGGAAAGGAATACAAATTATTATCTATTTCATTAATCAGCCTATCACAACAAATTCAAGCATAAATAAACAACTGAAAGCATGAGTTTATAGATGAAAGCAGTTTTTATTTACTAATAAATCAAGCTACATCTTTCGGTCACACGTGACCACCATCAGGTTTTTAAAATGTATTAAAACGTGTCTCAACCTACGTTATTGGACTGCTTGTTTCACTGGAACGGCTGTAGATAATCCAACAACCCTTTTTCAAGATTACACTATCATAAAATACAGTATATTGAATAGATTATTAGATTAGGTAAGTTTATAACTTTATTTTATCTTATTATAGTTATTAGTTGAATTTTTAGTTAAAGTTTAACGTAGTTTACTGTGTATAGTGTTTTTATAAGTGGAATAGGAACTAGGGGAAATGGGGTAGAAAGGTGGTATGTGTTGAGTACTATTGTTATGGGTATGTTCTTAGTGGGGACGTGGATGTTTTTATATGCATGTATGTATATATCTTAAGGACGCGCCATGGCTCAAGCGGTTAGTCGCTGGCTTCCCACCGCGGCAGCCCAGGTTCCACCCCGGGTCTGGTTAAGTGGGATTTATGGTGGACAAAGTGGTGCTGGGGCAGGTTTTCTCCGAGTGCTTAGGTTTCCCCTGTCAATCTTCCTTCCACCAAATTCTCCATCATCATAATCACCCGGGGCAGGCTACAATAGGCCAGGTTTCTTTCGTGTGGGTAACTAATAAACAGTATCTTACATACAGTGCGACGCTTCAGTATAATATTTCCATTGAAAATAATTTTTGAGTAAAATCCATTTCCACATATTAATACAGAAGTTAGCATTAATCCGCATCAATTGTACGAGAAGATGTTGGAAACTGCCAAACAATTATAATAATGTAGCATCTTGACTTGGCATTTGTTTCACGAAGAGAACCGACATGTGGGTCCACTGTTCCTGCAGCTCATGCAGGTACCAACTTGGACGCAAATGATTTCGTGGGGCTCGCCGATGGATACTCGTTGATGTGCTCGGCTCGTGTTGCTACTTGAGTTTACATGCTGATAAGAGACTTTTCTTAATATTTAGTTTAAGTCAACCGAAAGACGGATCAGTCTTGAAATATTAAGCAAATAAACAATTTTAGTACATTCAGCTCTTTTGCAACGTTTGTAGTTTTTGTGTAGTTTTATATCCACCTGACGATGGCCGTTTAGTGACCGAAAGAGAGGGACTTCCCCGAGCTGCATGCTGTCACGCCTCATACAGTGCATTATGTTACATGCGCTTTTTACGTGTTCGGGCGTTTCTTCTTTGCACTGAACAGTAAGTAATGCGGCCATGGATCTCAGCGGCAGCAATTTACTGCCGTGACCCACTGGCTAGAGATTAAGGAAATGAATACTTCTCTTCTTCCTTTTGCTCCGTTAATTGGCTTAACTGGCTGAGTGATGATAGCATGGATTTTTAGACAAGAGTAAGGTGATTCGGACTGAGTACATCTACCTTCGGACAGAGACTAGTGGCGAAGTCTTGTGAACGAGAAATGGACCTTAAGGTTCCATAACGAACTCCATGGAGCGAAGTCTTTGAGAAGCTGCGATCCGCCAAGTTACTAAGGAATTTCCCAGCAATTTATGGAAACGGACGGTTCCTTAAAGCGTATTCTGTTGTTCAGGCAAAAGAACTGACCAGCAGTGCGACTATGAGCTTCTCAAGGACAACTCTACTCAGTGCAGTTACCTGATGCAAATATTCTATTCCTGATCCTTATTAGGAATTCATGCACGCTGCCAGTAGAACAAAAACCAAGCTCAACGTGAAACAAGTTGTTGAATTGACATTGTCGTCACAAGGTGAACCGCTTACAAACTGGTACGACCCCTTTCCAACGCATTCCTTTCCTGCTTAATACCTTCTCCACGCCTGTGTGCTGGCGTTATGTGATTGGTCGAACATTTTGCCCCGCCTTCCACCATATTTCGTTATTGTACTTTCAGGAAACATCGCTATTGCAAATTCCGTATGATGTAAATCGGGAGTATTGTACTGCTGCTTAAATTGAGCGTATGTTTTTGTATAGCAAGTAATCGAACAAGAACGCTGGGGTCTATTTCGACATTTTCAAGCAGCTTGCCGGCAGAAATATTGCAAGTCATTGTGAACACAGAGTATATACACAGGGGAGGTTGCTTTGTAGTCCTATTTGACATTTTGCTTGCAAGAAGTGTGTGCAGGTAGCGTCTGTTATACGGTTAGTATCGTTAGGGTTGTGCCAGTTTTCGAAGGTACTGTTGTCCAATGACTTATTTGTATTTTTACTTGTCAGTTATTTTAACATAACGCGTCATGAAGATAATTTATTTCGAATATGCTTGGTACTGACAAACGTAACCTTGATTCATGTGACCTTTATTAAGTTTGTGTTCAGTATAGATAGTTTGTAGAGTTTGTGCTAGAGTTGTGGTGTTTCATGTTTATGTTTAAGCCTGCGAATGAATCAGATCTTGATGTGTTTCTCCTGTGAATCAAATCAATATACAGGTGACACGTGTACAGTTACGTGTTATGAAAGATAACGTAATGGGCGTGTCATATAACCGGTTTGGTGCAGTTTGAATGAGCCGGTTACTGCATAAACTGCGTTAATATTCAGTTATGCGCTGTAAGAACCGTGATTGCATTGAATGTTCCAGTTTTAACGAGGTCCTTTCGGACACTTTCTTGTCAGTTCATATTAATTTAAATATTACGTTTATTATTTGTGAATATAATACGAATCCCAAGGCACCGGTCCTGAACTTCTAATGCACGCATTATTCAAAGGAGGAGTGACTTGATTAAGGTTGATTCGATAAAGAAAAGGAAGTCGAGGGATTCTTGTAGCAGAAAGTGTAGACCTGTATTCGGGAGGTGCTCGGTTCGAACCTCGTTCGGGACACTGGGTATCTTGAGAGATTTTTCGTGGTTTTCCTAAGCCCCTCTAGGCAGATGCCGGGATAGCGCCTCGATTAGGCCACAGCGGCTTCTTTCCGTATCCTGCTCAATTAGCGATTCCACTCCATGCACTGAGAGCTGTTGGTAGCGTCGTTAAATAAACTACAGTAGAACAGATGGCGGGGAATGGGAGGCATGAGAATGCAGAAATTAATCTGGAAAGCTGAAGGGAGGAGACCATATCGAAAGTCCAGGTGTGGATGGAATGGAGAATACCATTAAGAAGCCTCTTAAAATAAATGTTTGACGATGTGATTTGGATTTGTGGCTCAGGAGAGGTTCCAGTGCCGGGCTTCTGTGAATACGATAGTGATATTTGCCCATAAATGGCACGAAGCTCGTTTATTAGTGCTCTGTGTAATAAATTCCGAAAATAAATAATATACGTATATGCCTAATACTGCCTGTAACAGTCGTCCCCACGGGTAAACTTATGCCACGAGTTGGGAATCACTTGTAACTGCCTATGGGACCTTTTATTGTTCGGTTATTTGTATGACCGCCCATCCTTTCCCTTTGCTGCTCACCTTCGCTTTTTTCCTAGACGCTTTCACTGAAGTTGCACTCTTACCCTGGCTGGTGCATGTTGAGAAGTTGTGTTGAAAGGAAGGAGAAATGTGGTTGCTGATGCTAATAGGCGAGGGTTCCTTTCACCCACGATTACTAAGGTGTCTCGCAAGTAGGGAGAAGTCGGACGTAGCTGGGTTGTGCTCAGTAATGGTAGAGATGAGTTATCATCTAGGGTCATATGGGCCTGGCTCGGGCAAGAGGTTCCTTATCTTACAGTCACATACACCACTTCAAGACTTCGCACTTTCACTAAATACGCATATTCACTCTTTCATAACACTGTACATTATATATAATGGAACTAAATTTTTCGTACACTTTCATGAATTTGAACTTTGTACGGCTTATAACACCAGAAAATTTTACTTTATCGAAGTGACGTAGTTTCTACATATGAATTGGCTGAAAGTTGATTGAAAGCTCCTTATGGAGAATGAATTCTCCGGAATTCTGAGGTTCACGGATCCACAGCATCCAAAAAAGACCACTCCTCCAAACATGCACCGTTGGTTCATTTTGAAAACTAGGAGGACTCTTAATTTGGTGACCTTCCTGTCATATTGTTTTGCTATATGAGTCCTTGAAGTTACTGACCTAACGCAAGAGTTGACAGCGACTTGATGTATTAGGATCATCGGATGGGGCTCAGGCCCCACAGTCAGTTCTGAACAGTCGTAAACTGCTTGTCTTCTTCCAAAATTAAGGAATGACTCTAAGTGATGTGTGATGTGTCACATGATAATAGTCAGTCTGTGAAAGTTTCTGTCAGTCTTAAGTGAAGAATGAATTAAATGTGTCCAAAACACATTTCAAAGGACAGTGAGCAGGCAGGGGAATTGAAAACATTACAAACCAGATGAAATCATTACAGAATTTGTCACGAATGGAAAGACTCTTAACTCTACTGGCATCAGGTATGAACTGAAAGGCTGGATGACTTATGATGCCACGCAGCATGTCTGTACAGGTCACAGCATGATACATCAATCCTACTAGTTACACCACTAACACAAAATCGTAGCTTGTCATCACTTTCATGTACTGAGATATTTTTTAAATATTTATTGATATGATTGTGAGCTGGGATAGAGTAATCGTTATAGCGACTAGCTACAGGCTGGACGACCAAGAGGTTGGAGTTGGAGTCCTGGTAGTGTCAAGAATATTCTCATCTCCATGGTGTCCAGACCGGCTCTGGAGTCAATCCAACCTCCTATCCAATGGCTACCGGGGGCTCTGACCACTTGCCTCCAACTGGTGCTGAGGTCAAGAAAATGTGGATCTATACACCCACTCCTCCATATGCCTTCATGGTGTGGTGCTTAATTAGTTAAGCACAGGGACAACTTTACCTGTTTATTGAAATGATCACAAAGTATTGTGGGGAAACTTGCACAGATCTGGCTATACATATTTTCAAAACCTAAGGTCAAAGTTCAAGTTTAAAATATGCCCGAAAATATGAGTGGATTAGTAAATGAAAGCCGCACTTAAGAGATTTCTGTTAGTACAAGAATGTGCTCTTTTATGTTAATTAGAAACAGTTTTAGTGAGTGGGAAAGGAGAAAATTTCAGGAAAACTTGGAAGACTCAGTTTGCTCTATCTCTGCAGTTAATGTACACAGGAAAGTAACATTTCATGTATGTCATTTACTGTACATACTTAGCAAGCTTGCAAAGTGTATAAATGGTTGTGAATATTTTGTTCCTGGTCTGTGTTGGACATAGAATGACTATCACATCACATTTTACACAATATTAGCAGTTGATACAACATTGTGCAGTTATGGTATAAGGCCACATATGTGTATGGGTTGAATTGACAGTGAGTAGAGTGTAATGCTGCAACAGATAAACCATAGGCAAGACATGAATCTAACTCATTATTGGTGGTTACACTAACAGACTTCAGCTATACGAGTATATTGTGTTATGTATTGCAGGTTTCCACTGCGCTGTTCACAGAATTTAGCACCTTGACTGTAATTATTGATTTCTTTTTCAGAATACATCACTAGTTCAAGATGACGATTGATTTCTACTACGTGCCTGCCAGTTCTCCCTGCCGCACTGTCCTTCTGGCAGCGAAAGCTATTGGTGTTGATCTGAACCTCAAACTGACAAATCTCATGGCTGGGGAACATCTTAAACCCGAATTTCTGAAGGTAATCCCCCCCCCCCAATGTACCATTCTTTATGTGGGATATGCGAGTCAACTCTTCCATTATGTGCTGTGGTAAGAAATGTGGTAGTGTGGATTTTGTACAAAATCTTATTTCAGAAATTACATTTCTGATGATAAAGCACATTGAATTTGCATAAATTGTATGTGTTTAAATTTTCTGCAGGCAACAGGAGAAGAAGTATGAGATGATCAACTGTGACAGTTATTTGCAAATAGAGAATTTAAGGATAACAGGAAACCCTTTGAAATGACCCAGTTTCTAATCATTTGACTAATAAAGCTGATTTGTACAAAATTTTGAATCCTGTAGCTTGCATTATTGAAAATAATAATATTATTATTGAAAGAGTTCACAATACCCCACAGAGTTTCAGTTTCTGTTGCTTAGTACTCTTATACATGGAAATAAAATTTTTATAAATTAAAGCATTTCATATATACTGCCAGGAGCAGAGGCAGGCAAGTTAGCATTCTGTAGATCAGTATACTCTGCAAAGAGGACTGTATTTAATTTTTATTGGGGTTAGAAATGTGACATTTTGAATTGCAAAATACAGAACTTGGCTTACATTATTGTGTTTTCTGACATTACTGTGCTCATTCTGTTATGTTTCCTGTTTTAATCTTCCAGTGGTACTGAATGTTGAAACTAAAATCCTCATGTGTCATCACTGATTCTAATCTCTTATCTNTATCACCACAAATTATAAATTCAACTTTTGAACCATGCAGTACATTTAGGATGGTTTCTAATCTATTTAAAAAGTGATTGAAGTTTCCAGATGGGGCTCTATATAAAGTCAGTATACAAATATTTGAAAAAGGAGAGTCTAACTTTAGAGCACATGCTTGATGCAGTGGTAATCTAAACAAATGATTATCTGGCCCACTGGACTAGTTTATAGTTTTGAAAATCAGTAAACCTTTATATTGGCTTTTAACGGGGCAAGATAGCTTATTTAGTTCAGTGATGGGCTACAGGCTGGATGGCCAGCAATGTATTCCTATTAGAGGTAAGAAATTTTCTCTACTCCACATTGTCCAGACAACCTCTCAGTTTCACCCATCTTCTTACCCAGTTTGTGCCAGGGACACTTTCTGTGGAGGTAAAGTGGGTTGGGGCTGAAGCTGGCTGCACACTTCTAATGCCANATATGTGATAGCTGTCATTAACTTTGCTCCAGCTCTGTTTTCCAGTTCTTTATAACTGGATTAGGCTTTGGGATAAAACATGAGGGTTTTTCTCAGGCACAATGGGTGGGTACTGTTTTATTGTGAGAGAATGTGGAGGTGACAGATAATCTCAGTGATATGAATAGACACCGGCAAAGTCCAGTTCATGACAGTGATCTGTTAATCCAGAATGTTATTGGTACAGTGGCACTGGATGTAGGATGCAGTGATGTTCTATGTAACTGAATGTAAGCTTGATGCAGTGGTAATCTGAACAAATGATTATCTGGCCCACTGGACTAGTTTATAGTTTTGAAAATCAGTAAACCTTTATATTGGCTTTTAACGGGGCAAGATAGCTTATTTAGTACAGTGATGGGCTACAGGCTGGATGGCCAGCAATGTATTCCTATTAGAGGTAAGAAATTTTTCTCTACTCCACATTGTCCAGACAACCTCTCAGTTTCACCCATCTTCTTACCCAGTTTGTGCCAGGGACACTTTCTGTGGAGGTAAAGTGGGTTGGGGCTGAAGCTGGCTGCACACTTCTAATGCCAGTCTCAAAAATGATGGAGCTATATCTCTACTCCCCATACATCTTCATGGCATGGTGCTTACAGCTATAGTTTCTATCTTATATTGGCTTTTGTAAGCTAACTAAACAGCAATTTAGAAGAACTCTTAAATTTGCTGATAAAAATCTGAACAAGGTTAATGTGTGTGGAAGTTTGTTTTGCCGTGTTTATTGTTTGAAGTCTGACAGTGAGTCAGAAATCAGTATGGCCAACCCAACAGTTCAAACTATACATGCAGTCATGGCATGACCATCAGTCTTGCCCTCCTTGGGGTGGTGTATTACTTAGTCATTGCATTCATGCACAGTGTTCTCTGAGATTTGAGAATAGAATACTTTAAATATATAATTTGCTTATCGCTGTTTAATTTAACTCATTAATATACTTATGTTCATTCTTGGCCGCACCATAGCTCAAGCAGTTAGTCGCTGGCTTCCCAATGCGGTGGCCCAGGTTCGATCCTGGGTCTGGTCAAGTGGGATTTATGATGGACAAAGTGATGCTGGTGTGGGTTTTCTCCAAGTACTTCGGTTTCCCCTACCAATCTTCATTCCACCAAATTCTCTATCATAATCACCTGGGGCAGGCTATAATAGGCCAATCAGTGGCTGCAGTGCCGAGTGGACCCAGTTGGACTCCACCCCCCACTAAGCGAATTTAAAAAAATTAAAATTATGTTTATTCAGAAACTTTTTTTTTGTTTATGGTTGTATTCTGTTTGTATTCGTCATTCAAGTTTTTAGATTAGGCATCACACAAGTAAATAACCTTAGCATTACAGTGTGAATTTCTCATATTTTTGTGTTTTGCACCTGATGATGGCTGTTTTGCAGGCAAATTGTGTCCTATATGAGCAGGTATGAAAACAAAGCTTTAACACAAGTTTGTGCAGTGGCCTTCAGTTACATTTCTATCATCATCATCATATTGTAATGCGCCAACGTGTATGCTTTCGATCCTCCTTCTATACACATGTGTGCATGCTCACACATAGACATATATTTATTTGTTTTCTTTTAGTTTCACATCTTGATTCCTGCCAGTAAATACTATACATTTTATACAGTTTGCTTCTTTGTACCGTATTTCACTAATTTTTCTATTATCTAGTGTGTATACTAGTCTTAGTGGATGGTATTCTGGAACTATAGAATTGAATATTATGATTTGAAATACAAGGGTTGGATAAAAAGTAGTGGCAGCACTGCTGTAACATGAAAGATGTGCGTCAGGTGGCACTAGCGCCGTCTGTAGCTGATAGCAGAAGTTCAATGGAAGTAGTGCAGTGAGTGGCTCTGGTTGTGTTTCATGAGTTGCATTGTGCATCGTCTTGAAGTGCAGGAGCTCAGTTCAAGCATCCTAACGACATGTTTATGAAATAAGACCAATGCTTCTGGATAAAAATTTAAGTTGCACGAGGTCGTAGTGCACAAAACTGTTATCAGGGACTGCGAGAAGCATGTGGTGATGCTGCTTTGCCATATCGCACAGTGGCTCGATGGATGAAATTGTTCCGTGAAGGGAGGGGTGCCATTCAGGATGACCACATGTTGACAACCACACAGTTCAGCTTGGATACTGCAACATTGCAGCGCATTGGTTACCCCATACAATGTCCAAGGTGTAACAATGGCAACGTTATGCAATTTCACAGGACTTGTTGGACCGGTACCAGAAGGAAGGTGATGACTTCCTTGGAAGGAAACTTGGGCTCACTCATACGAACTGAACTTGAAGTGACAATCAAATGAATGGAAGCATCCTGGTTTTCCTCATCCAAAGAAAGTATGCCCTACACAGAGTAGTGTGAAGGTGATGTTCACTGTGGCATATGATAATGATGGAGTGATACTGCAACACACAGTACCTCAACGACAGACAGTAAACGCTACCTACTGCTGCAGTTTCCTGTGTGATCATCTTCGTCCAGCACTCAGGAGAAAGTGACGACACTTGTTGGCAACGAACCCCATCATCCTTCATGATAATGCAAGGGCTTATGCTGCTGATGCTGTCAAGGATCTCGTTTGCCACTGGCAATGGGAGATACTGTAACATCCACCATGCTCACCCGATATGAGTCCGTGTGATTATGATCTCTTTGCCAAAATGAAAGAACCACTGCGAGGGACACGTTACAGTGCAAGAGAGGAGATTATTCATGCTGTAGTGCGGTCACTGCTGGACATCAACAGAAGTGGATGTGCTGATGGTGTATGACGCCTTCCACAAATGTGGCAGAAGGTGGAACATATGGGGGGCGATTATATTGAAGGAATCTAAGTGTGTTTGCCGCAGGTAATAAAGTCATTTCAGAACTATAGAGGTGTTGCCACTACTATTTATCTGACCTATGTATATTGGGGTTTTTATTAAGAACATATATATCAGATGTTATATGTGATAGTTACTGAATTCATATAAAGTGATTTGACAGCACTGTCCAATGTGATATGTTTATACGAGTATAATGCCTTTACATTTTTTTGGTCAGTTGTGATCATCTTCAGAAGGCAGTAACAACATGTTAACGAACTACTATTACATATCATACTACATACGCTTATAGTTTTGTATAAAGATTTTTAGTTATGTTAAAATGTGTTTAAGTTAAAAATACATTATTAATGTTCTTAATATTTAAAATCTTGAACCGCTGAGGTTTGTGTCTCCATGCCTCTTCTGTGAAAACAGGAGATTGGGGGTGTTATTCAACATCCTCTGAGGTCGGGGCAGTGTTGTTACCCCCTTTTTTATATGATTCATTAAAAGTCTATGTTGTTGTCAAGTTGTTTCTCCTTTTATTGTGCATTGGGGCACCTGAAAATAGTTACAACTGACAAAACATGTAAAGGCACTATATAAATATATACCGAGTCACATTGAATGGTACTGTCAAATCATTTCATAATAATTAACTAGTATGATGGACCAGAATGAATAAAGTTGGTTTATTTTGTTTACTGAGTTGATTCTCTATACAAGTGGACCCTCTCATGTAACCGCTGAATGTTGTGAAGTAAGAGCCTCTTTATATCAGCGCATACAGACTGTGATGATAGGCATTTAATTAGATGTGCATCAGTGGGCTAGAATTTAGGTGTGATTTCAGTCAGATAAGTGTGTCATTTATTTTGTTTCAGATTAATCCTCAACATACCGTACCCACCCTCAATGACAATGGATTCTCTCTCTGGGAAAGGTTAGTTCGGAAGCCAGTTTTCATTGAATCATCTTACCCATATTTAGCCTTTAGTATTCTCTACTGTGCATGTGTGTGTGTGCATATCAGTGATCCAGAGGAACCTGCTGTCTCCATCTTGAGGGTTGAAGTGATTTGGGGGGGGGG